GGGGAGTTGCCTCGGGCCGGGTTACATTAATGGCTTGACGGTTGTTGAGATTGGTAAAGGTTTTGGGAAATAGGGAGTGGACATTGCATTGCATTGGCATGGCATAGCATTGCAATTTAGTATGCTTGGATTGTATAGTGATGAGTACGTTGATTTATTTTTCCCAAAATATGCATGACCCCTTCTCTATACTTCTTTCCTTATTTGTGATTTATGGGGTCATTAAGGGGTGTATTTTAGGCACCTCCTACTGAGCTGTTGTGCTCACTCCTTTATTACCATATTTCAGGTCACGAGAAAGAAGTGGTGAAAGACGTTCCCCCACGAATGTAGACTGGGTTAGAAAAAATCTTCTTTTGCTATCTTTTGTAGTATATGTATTTTTGTAAAGCCTTAATACTAGACTTGTATATTTTGTAATCCAATGTTTTAATAGACCATATTTGGATGTATTGCAACATGAAAATGTATTTTGAACTTTCTTGGATGTATGATTGTTTCACTTTAATTGTATATAAGTTTTACGCATGTTTTTGGACAGGTTTAAGGTCTATGGGATTGGTCAATAACTTAATGAGCAATGTAGGAACCAAGTCAGAGCCAAAATATGGCCTTAAAGTCTTTTTTATAGGGCCAAAGCTCTAGCACAAAATTTTATGCTCGAGTACAGGGACTTTGGCCGAGAGTTAGTTTCTGCAAAGTGGCTTGTGCTCGAGCACAAGGGGTTTGTGCTTGAGCACTGGGGGTCTTAAGGTCGAGCACAAACTTTTGTGCTCGAGCATTGGGTAGTTTTGGATAACCAACTCCCAGGACTTGTCATTACAGGTTCTAGAGCTCGAACAAAGTGATCTGACCTTACTCATGTTAGTTCAAACTTCAAACGCCCATATCTTCTTTATTTTAAACCCGAATAGGGTCGTTCTTAAGCCTAAATTGCATATTTTTTTCCCCATCTTTCTAATAGTATCAATATCATCCCATAATTTTTATATTAAATGAACATTTTGCCCATATGTGTTTTCGGGTCGAGTCAGGACCCGGTTAGCGATTCGGACCCCCTTTTGTATTCAATGCTTAATCTTCGTTATTCTTTTGTAAAGCATTGTAATTAAGGTGTTAAAAGCCTAAAACATGTAATACTATTCTTTTGGAAATTCTTTTGATGTATATTGAATCAAGCAATGGCCATGTTGTTATTTTGAAATGATTTGAATGTTTAAAGATTTATATAATGTTTATATTAATGATTTAATGTAAACGAATTGCTATTTATACATGTTGTGAATTGGGACAGGCATTGAAGGTCAAAATGATGGGGGTAATGAAAATCTCATTTGGACATATGAAGGTGAAGTTGAATATCTTCAATCCGACCCCAAATTCATTTGACAAGCATGATGAAGTAAATGTTGTAGAAAAATGCCTAGACAATGAATGCGAAAGAATGGAGTCTTTTCTTGAAACCAAAACTTCAAAAAGTTCATTTTCAACCTTGAATTCCAAAAATGGTGTTTCAAAATATTGCTTTGGAAAGGCATGGAAGCATAAAGATCATATTGACAAGGGATCAACAATTTCCTTTGAACCTCATCCAACAAGTTCTTTAGGGAACCGTTTGTTGGATGGAACTCAAAGTACTCATCACCCCGACAAGGAGGGGATGCATAACAAGATATTTGATCCGGGCTAAAAGAGCTCAATGTCTTGCTAGAAAAGTTAAAGACTAGTACATTTCGTAGGGTTTCACAACCCTATTCTTCCCTCATTTCTATTTTAAATTTCATTTCTAGCATCTTTTAGTTATGTTTTAGTGTTCACACACATTGATAGGAACTATGATTCAGAATGCATGCACTTTCATGTTAAAAATAGGCATTTTGTTCCCGTTCGATCGATCTCAAAAGAAGTTAGATTGATCGAACATCCATTCCTGCATCCAATCATCTATCTGTTCCATCGATCGAGAATTTCCTGTAAAAATCAGTTCTCTGTGCATCGATCGAAAAATTTCTTGGATCAATCTGAAAGTTCCTAGATCGATCTAACTTTTTCTTAGATCGATCTTCACTCCACACTTAGAAATTTTTTTAAGATCCATGAAAAAGGCCTCTTTGTGCATCGTTCGAATTGTCTGCAGGTTTTTCACCTATTCGATCGATCGAAATGTATTTCAGATCGATCTGGGATTAATCGATCTATATCCCTTGTTGACCATGATTTGACTACTCTTTTTAATTTTTAATTTTTTTTTAAAAAAAAAAAAGAAGAAAGAAAACCTTCAAAAATATTTTGAATTATTTTAAATCTCAAAAATTCCAAAAATATTATTAATTTTAGGAAATTTTTCAAAAAAATCCAAAAATATTTTATTTCTATTTTTACTTTATTTTTATTTTTATTTTTCAAAAGTTTTCAAAATTTCCAAAAAGATTTTTATTTAATTTTTAATTTATTTTATTGTTAAAAATCCAAAATTTTAAAAAATATTTTATCCTTTCGAAGCATAGATCGATGTGTTCTTTCTTTAAGATCATAATAAGTTAATGCTTGTGTTCTATTATCGAATCGGGTTAAAATAGTTGTTCTAATTCAGTCTTGTTCCCAATCGTCAATTACTCGTGACCAATCTTGGAGATCATGTCGTGATATATCTAATATGGCTCCTGCATCATGTGCTGGGATATTATCGTAGCGTCTACAATGTGGTGTCCACGTGTACATGTCTTATATGTTTCTATTTTCTACATAAGTTTCTTATGTAGGTTGCAATCTTTGTCCAGTAAGATATTCATCATTAGTTTTATTAGTACTACTAGTTGCATTATGCATTTCTTGATCTATCGATTCGGTTGGTTGGGAGATAGATCCTTCTAGTTCTTTTCCTTCCTTATATTCTATAACATTTAATTCTTCCTTTATGGTGTTTAGTTCATGTTTTGTGTAGAAGGATTCAAATCCTACTTTTAATATATTTCTTTTAATATCATCATTATTTTTTTTGCCTAGATAAATGCTTTCTATAAGTTGCTAATTTGGCTCGGGATATTTCTCTTTCAATTCTTCTAATTCAAGGTTGTCAAAGTCATGTATTATTTTATCTAAGATTTCATCTTCTAATCTATCATAAAGAACATTTATTTCTTTAGGGGATTCAATTTCTATGAGTGTAGTTAAAAAATCTTCTTGAGTATCATTAACTAAATTATCCTGTCTTTTATAATTACTAAACCTTATACTGGCTTCTCCACTATTCGTTACATATATCATATTACTTTCAGGAATCTTTTTAATTGTAGTGGTGAGATTAGGTAGTTTCCATCATGTTCCTTCATGGGTAATACTACTTACTTTTCTAACTTCTATCATCTGGACATATTTACTACTAAAATCTTTTACTAATTCACTAAATTGGGCTTTAAATTTTAAATTACATTGATTAATTGCTTCTCCCATAAATAGAGTATTGACTAATAGGTTTTCAAACTGTCTTGTCATATTATATTCTTTAGTGGATATAGCTATTTTAATATATTTACTGAATTCTCTAGTGGTCATCGTATAATTGGGATACATCCTACTATGACTACATTGGCTGCTAAGTCTATTTCAGCGCTAGCTATTTAAGCTTGTTGATGGTTATTCCATCAATCATCATAAATATAAACAACTGCTCTAGTTCCTATTTCAGCTCGGTTTAATCCTACTAATCCTATCATTATGACACCTAAATGCATGAGTTCTAAATTATTATTATTTAACCTTTGACAGGCCTCTGGCGTTATAAGGTCTAAAATAACTTGATTGTTAACTGCACTTATTCTTCTTTGGCTAAAATGATTGTATATCTTTCTTTGGGAATCTAGTAAATTATTAGAATAAAGGTTAACTTTATTTTTTACCTTCTTCATTCCTTATTTTATATATTTTTTAGCATCTTCCTCATTATCATATAAATCTTCTACTCTCATTATTTCTTTGGCTTTTCTAAGAATAATGGCCATTGTGGTATTTGTTTATGCGGTTGTAATAAATTTACACGCTTGGTTGTTTTAGGAGGGGACTGATTATTGGTTGATAATTTTATCTCCTTTATTTTATCTGATAATTCAACTAATTCTTTAGAGGATTCTCTGGGAATACTTTCTTGTATTACTTCTAATTTTTCCTCAAGTTTATTGATCTTTTCAGATAACTGGAGTAGTAACTGGATTAAAAAGTTATTTTGTCTAATATGTATATTGGTTGAGTGTACGTCTGTTTTAAAACTTATAAATCCTATAGGTTCCTTATCAATTTTATAAAGTTCGGCTAAAGCAGTTAGATAATCAAGATTATTAGTGTTCATAAAACTATTGTAATAGCTTTTGTATATCGGTTTTAAGAGATTTTAAGTAATCTATTATTACTTCTTGGTTTTCAATAATATTTTGAATATCGTTATTAATATCTTTAATTGCGACTAATATTATCTTGTTATCTAAATTATTTGGGTTAGAATTCTGTACTACTTGTTCTTTAATATAATCAAGATTTTTTTCTAGTCGTTTTATTGAGTTATCTAAATTATTAAAGTCTATTCTATTCATAAACTAAAATAGTTGCCATCTAACTTCTAAAATATTTTGTATTAATATAATTCTAGATCTAAGTTCTTCTTTATAAATTGCGTGTTGGTTTTTTTAGTTCTTGTGCGATGTAACAATTCTTAAGTGCTATTTGGAGAATTCTAGAGCTTGTACAATTTGTTCTTTGGGTAAATTGTGCATGAAATAAACTTTAAAGGTAAAAATACAATTTTAACTTACTAAAGAATTCAAATAAAATACATTGACTTTTAGTTCATGTTATAACGTTCATGTGTGGGTAATATACCATTGCTACTTCCAATTATATGTAAATTTCCCAAATAAATTCGGGGTGCGTGGGATATCCGCTGGTACCGTCACAAACATATATACGGAGGAGTACTACGTAGTAAGGTTGGACAACTACAACTCAGACACCGTCCTTCCCCGAATGCCCTCATCTTCCGTTCAAATTTACACTTCACCCTAGTATATGACCGAAGCAGCTGTTACCGTCCAAGCTCCAAACCAAAAAGACCCTCTTTTTCTGTCGAACAAGCATTCTTCTTCCGAATCTTCCTTGCAAAAAACACACACACACAATCAGTCTCTCTCTCTATGGATCCACTTTCCGCCCTTCGCGACTTCACCATCGCAGGCGAACTCGACAAAATCGTCCGAGTCGGTGACGATTTCCGGTTCGGCACCGACTACACCTTCCCCTGCTCCATGGCTACCGCGTACAAGGCGAAACAAGGGCAACTCTACACCCTCGAAACGCTAATTCATTTCATCAAGAACCACCATCTCAAGCACTCCGATTACATCCGCATCGCCGGCGCCCACAAAATCACCGCCGTAACCCTCCCCGACCGCAAATCCTTGCTCGACTACCTTCTCGGCAAAGTCTCATCCACCGACGCCATCCAACTCCTCCCCCAAAACCCCCCCTTCACTGCCACCACCGCCACTAGAACCTTATTCAACGACGACGATGAGTACCGGCCCGATGACCCCGGTTTAATCGCACCACCTACCACCACCGCCACAGCCGATAATCGAATGGATATTGACAACGAGGACCGACAATTCCAAGATAACGATGTCCTCAATCATCAACATTCTTCTGATGGACGGGTAATTAGGGTTTCGGAGGATACTCACTACATGTCCATGCTCAGAGCTGTAGAGAAACCCCTCAAAGATCGTGAATCCATGTTGGAGTCCCGGCACCGTGACTTTTACAGCGTGCTCGTCGCCGCTACCAAGCGCGACGAGGAGAGGCGGCGGATTGAGTCGCAGCAGCGGAAAGATGGGTTGGTGGCGAAGAATAGGCTGCTGATGCGGACGGACGAGAGAGGGTATGGGGATGAATTAGGGTATGACATGACTCCCAAGTCCAAGATGCACTTGAAGGGGGGCAAGATGGGGGAAGGACTAGGAGTGCCCATAATTTTGGTACCCAGTGCGTTTCAGACGCTGATCACTATATATAATGTGAAGGACTTTTTGGAGAATGGAGTGTTTATTCCTACTGATGTAAAGGTGAAGGAGATGAAGGGGCTGAAGCCTGATTGTGTTACTGTGCAGAAGAAGTTTAGTAGGGATCGGGTGGTGACGGCCTACGAAGTGAGGGATAAGCCGTCGGCACTGAAGCCGGAGGATTGGGATCGGGTGGTAGCTGTTTTTGTTTTGGGCAAGGAGTGGCAGTTCAAGGATTGGCCTTATAAGGACCATGTTGAAATTTTTAACAAAAGTAAGTCATATTATATATTCAGACACATATCAGACACATATTGCATTTTGAATTTGAAACAAATTGGATTCTTTTCCTCAATGTTTGGGCTTGGAATGCTTCTTTACACACACATATACTAGGAACTTGAAAAATTTGGTTTTTATTACTTTGTCTATTGTTATAAAACCACATTCTTTCGTAGTTGGACATAGTTTTGAGTATGATAAAGGGAGAATTTTTTTTATTAATGAGACAATGTCCATGTTGAATCTTATTGCAGTTCTTGGATTTTACATGCGATTTGAGGATGACAGTGTAGAGTCAGCCAAAAATGTGAAGCAATGGAATGTGAAAATTATCTCGGTGAGAATAATTTTCCTCAAGCTGTTGGTTTCTCTTTATTGATACAACCATTTGTTAAAAAAAGAACAACTCCATTTTGCAGATTAGCAAGAACAAACGGCACCAGGACAGAGCTGCAGCGCTTGATGTGTGGGACAGACTCGAAGAATTTATGCGCTCACGATCACATGGTTGAGGTGTGCCTTGTTTTGAAGAACAAATACATGTTTATTTTCTCTCTTTATTGGCAACATTTTCCTGGCTTGAAGTTAGTCAAGTTTCTGATATTGACAAGCCTTTTTACCTTTATTGTCTCACTCTTTCATCGTTTCTAATAAATTAATAATCGTCATGTTTATGGCTCAATGGTGAATGTATACCCTTGTGAAGGATTTTAAAATCTCATCTGTATACTATGATCAGTTCATTGTGTGTGGAATATGTGTTATAGTTCCTTTCTATTTGTTAACACTGTAATTAGAAAAATGTGCATTTTGTGTCTTTATTATCATTCCTACTTCTGAACAGTACTGCATTATTTTTTACAAAATTGGGGTTGCTTTTTGAATATTGTGCATAGTAGACAGCATTATGGGCTACTTAACGGGGTTAAATGTTGGTTTAGAGTTGCTCTAAACTGTAATGAGGGTCGAGGTGGACGGGGATGTTGGGGAAGTTTTGATTGCTTTGGGTGTGGGCAAGATGCCAGGTTGTACTCTGATTGATAAACCTATTTTGACGTAGTGGTTCCCATGTAGTGCAGTGATATACTTTAAGTTTTGAGTTCGTGCGTGCCGGCTTAAACTTTTGGCTGATCCCCAGATGCATGTAAGAGTATGGACTTAAATTTGAGGTATTGATTACTGTAATGGTTACGCATAGCAGAATCAGTTCTGGCAATTAATATTTTTATCATTATCAAAAGCCTAATAACTCATTGATACACATGATTTGTGATTTTTTATTCTAGTTTATAACATCTCGATGTTTCTAGTTATTCACATCAATATTATGAAATCCAAAATCATGTTGACTATGGTTTTGGACTATATCAGTTTAAAGTTAGTTGAAAGTACCATCTATTATAAACAATTTTGTGCATGCAACTAAAAATGACGGGTCATTAAAAAAGAAAAAGAAAAAAAGAAAAAAGAAAAAATATCTAAATATTTTATAAGTTGTAAATCATAATAATGCTTAATTCTTAGTCAATGGGCCTGATAATGCAGTTCTCTTAGTTGTTCTTTATACTGTTAATGTCAATAAGTTATACAATTTGAAAAATAAATAAAGAAGTATAACAATTACCTGTGTACTTGTATAGTTGTATGTGTTGGGTTGTACTTCTTTCTTTAGTTCTTTTTTAAGGATTTATAATTATTAAAAAGTATTTGTAAAAAGGGGTCCATTGCATGTTGTAACTGTAAATTGCTTATGCTACCAAGCAAGGGAACATGACCTGGAGCATGAGACTTGAGAGTAGTCACTTGGTGCAAATAAAGGTGAAGTCTAGGATTGCAACTAGTAAACCCCTCAGTATCTTGCACAGATGGGGCAAGCATTGGTATTTTTTTTTTTTTTGATAAGTAAGGCAAGTATTGGTAATTTTTTTTTTTTTTGATAAGTAAGGCAAGCATTGGTAGTTGCCTTTAAAGAATATATATGAAGAATTAAATAAGACAACTAAAAACAAATAATACAATAAACTAAAAGGAAAATTAGAATAATAATTATTTTACAGGTAAATATACCATAAATATATTCAGGAAAAAAAACAATACCATAAATATGTGATTTTAGCATTTTAGAACAAAAGTTGCAAAGAAATAAACAAGAAAGGAAAAAAAAAAGTGTTACATTAAAAAAAAAAAAAAACCACTGATCCAAATTCTTCTCCCTGAATGGCAAGAAAAGAAGAAAAGGCAGCAGAGGTCAATTTGAGATTGGTTTATATAAAAGATTTAAACAATTTCATAAACAAACCCAAACCCTCTCAGTACCACACACAATATATATGTATATATATATATATGTATATGACAAAAGAAGAGGTAAAATGTACCTCATATTTAGCTGTTTCTGACGAAGAAAAGTAATTATTGCAACATCGGTAGATCCAGTGCCGGTTTTCCACCCTTAGAAGGATACAAGTCTTTTTTGTTTTTCCCTAAATGAAGGAGATAAGTCAACAAAAAAAAAAAAAAAAAAAAAAAAACCTAATTTGAAGTCTTCTAGAATAGGAATCCATTGTGGCCCGTTACTGTTTCATAACAGCTGTTTCAACGGTGAACTTGGGGCAGAATAGTTCTTCAGTGCATGGCTGAAATGGTGCTCCAAGAATCTGTCACATAATGGCAGATTTTGGAAACCTAAGTGTGGAGTCCATAGAAGCCTTCATTAGTATATCATTGAACTCTAGGGGAAGTGGGTTGTCTGAGCCTCTGACGCATGGATCTTTCAAGTATGTAAGAGCAGTATTTTTTAGCAGTGATGTGATTGCCTGGAAGGTGGGAAGAATAGCTTATCTTTTTACTAGATAAGGCTGAGCATTGGAGATGCAGCAGACTCTCTAGGTTGATAGCATGTGGGATACTTATGTCATTAATGGCCCATCCTTTTTTCAACAGTAATTTGGACAGACAGATGTTGGTTTATATTATGAAATTGAATTGAAGTAAATTCGAGAAGATTCATCTTTACTCGTCTAAATTATTATATTGGACAATCAACTAATGAGTTGAATCATGTTGACCACCTTTTGGTGATTTTGAATAATTTTTAGTGAACATACATAATATATATTTGTTTTGCTTAGTAAAGATATATCTCAGTCAAAGATTTTTTCATAATATTTAGTCAACAATTTTTTCTCAATTTCTATTTTCCGTATATTGTCCCAACTCAATCACCAATCTAGATGGGAGAGATGGGAGCGGACAATATCTAGTGGATGAATGGAGAAGAGGGTTTTGCCATTAGTACTCCCTCCGTCCCATAATAGGTGTCCACCATTCCATATTTAGCTGTCCCAAAATATTGTCCCAATTCAAAAGTCAATGTACTATGTTTTGCAACATTCCCAATTTTCCCTTCTTGCATTGAAGTTATAAAAACAATTAAATGTAAAACATCATCACTTCACTGTGGACTTACTATGGGTAAATTTGGTAATTCATTCACTACCAATACAATTATAAAATATTAAAAGCCACATCTTAAAAGTTAGATTACCAAGAAGGGACACTTAAAATGGGATGGAGGGAGTAGCATACTAGTGGTACGCAATCAAGATTTTGCATTCTGCACATGGTACACTTTGGTTCAACGAACTAGCATGGTACACTTTGGTTCAACGAACTAGGATTATTATTATTTTTTTTTACTCTACTACGCGTATTTTCCTTGAGGAGATAAATATAATGACTGAACAAGACCTAAGAGGATATAAATTAAGTTGCGAATGGGGCAATGGTAATCTCTATTTCAAAGAATGACTGAAAATAGGTTTTTCCTTCAAACTGCTGTATCACCATTAACTTCTATTAAAGCAATCTACATATCTTTATGAACTTGCCCTCATTTTACCACATTATAGTGTGGCGTCCTTTCTTGTTGTGTACCACTGCGATTCATTTTCGGTGGAATATTGGGTGCTTTTAGAGTGGTAATGAGCAACACATCCATATTACATGAATGGGACGTTACCGAGTTATGACCAAAAAAAAAAAATGTCTTGCTCTAAAGCTACTTTACCACAATTTAATTTTTTGTCAATCATTCTCATGTAGCTTTATAAAGCTACATCATACCACACTCTAGGGTTAAGTGGTGTACTGCATCTCTGTTCTTGTCAGTGCATCGTGCATAACTTCAATTCACATTCTAAAATTTGAATCTTCTAGAGTGTTCAATAAGAAACATATGCCTATTGCAAAATAGGTTGTAGGCAAGTATAACTTGTATGTTTCATGGTCTAGAATGGTTAATAGCGTTGAATGAGTATGAGATGGAGAATTATAGGATCTGAAACACATGTATTTCGTGGAGTAGGATCTTTAAGTGGATAGAAACTGTTCAGGAGCAGCTTGTCTTGTGTCTACATGGGGTTACATATATAATCAAACAGATTGACTTGTTATAAGGTCCATTTTTTTTTAAATCCATTTCCCTCAAGTTTGGCTTGCTCCAGCTTGTGAAGAAAGTGGCATATTTGTATGACGTCAGAGTTTGGCATAGTGCTTCAGTGGACAAACTGTTTGTGAACATCTTGCCCTGAGCTGGATGGTTAGCATGTCCAAGCTCATTGCAAAAACAAAAGCCGGCAAGTTTAAGATTTATTCTTATTTTGTTACTTGACATGTGAAGCAACCATCTGCTTAGCTTTGGTGAGGCTTGTGATTAATTGAGGTATACTGGCTCAAATTGTAGCAAAGTTACTCAATGGAAGAAGTACGAAAAATTTGTGGGACACAATGAGTATATGCTAATCACAATTAAAATTGGTAAGATAGGTTAGATGTAATTCCCTTTGGTGTGCCTGTCAGTAGTTTCAGTACAAAGTTTTCTATATGCGCGATTATTATATATATACATATATATGTTGTGCTGTTAGTTTATTTTCTAATGCTTCATCTTTTTCAACAATCAAGGCTTTGAGTTCATTCTCTTTGGATATCAGTTAGTGGGCTTATTTTTGAGGTAAAAATGTTGCTGCTTCTCAAGTTCGAACCCTGATTTAAGAGATATTTGTGGTTTGTGGGTGATTGCTGATATTTGGGATTGACGTTGTAGCCACGAATCCAACGGGCACCACAAAAAAAAAAAAAAAAAAAAAAAAAAAAAGGTTTCTTTAATTATGAAGATTATTAAAGATGAGTTTTCTGACAAACTGAAATGCCTGGCTAGCCGAACTTTTTTTCTGTAGAATGTGGAGATGTAATTGTCCTGGTCATTTCTCAACCAATTCTTCTATCATTTTCCATTTAAAAAATGTTTGGCATTAATGCATTTGAATACTTGTTATGCATGCATATATATATATATATATATTTATTATATATATACCTTTTGCTGCAAAATGTATTAGTATGAGCCAGTGATGATGGTTCCGACCCATGCAATGCAGGTAGACAGACTTGAGCATGACGAGCATGCCTATATGCTTTAAGATTGCCTGGGTGTAGTGTACAAACTTTGGCGGTAGCCGATCTTGCTTTCAAGATTCACCAGCTACAAATGTAAGTTTATGCCATCTTTGTGCTTGGGAGAGGGACTCTTCTAGTGGGATTGTAACTATGGAGCACATTGCTAGTTGCAAACCTTCTGGAAATTTTTGTTTATGTTATAAAGAGTCCGGCTTCATATAAAATTTTGCTGCATTGTCTGACTCCAATCAGTTGTATTAATTGTGTACCAAATTTGATGATTCAATTTCTTTGATAAAATCCTTGGATCTTCTTTTCTGCCATCCTAGGTGAGTTTGATGTGTTCCTGTGTTTTGGCGTTTTGGCCACACAAACTTTCCTTTTCATGGTTCCTTCTTGTAAAGTTAAGTGCCGAGTACATGAACACAAAACTGGAATCATCTTTTATTGAAAGGGAAAGAGAGCAAGATCTCTCTTCAGTTATACAAAATCATATCAACCCCATGAAAGGTCATCAAATAAAAGAAGTAATACGATAAAAATAACTAGGTAATTGTAAGAACTCAGCATCTAGTGAAGGTTGGTGCAAAAGTTGCAATGAACAGAAGGAAGAACTGGAGAGGAATTATCAAGCTGATCGAAGTTCCATCGGAGGAGTCGATTGTTGTTGGTACTGTTTTTGATCCAGTTCCTGCATTCATGCAAACATCAACATGATTATTCTTGTTGAGGAGATTGGAGGAACAGCGATATACAAACTACTAGCTAGTATGTGCAGTTTGAAATGAACATAAAATGTTGTTGTACCTGAAGGCCCTGAACCGGTAGATTCCGGTGTTCCTGCAGGAGAGTCGGCTGGAGAAGCAGCAGCTGTTCAGGTAGAGATGTTACAAGTTAGCAGTGAATGTATTTCCTAAAGTTTTTTTCGAGTTTTGGTAGGAAAATTTTGTACAGGAGGTTTCTGATTGGAAAGAGAATTTGGCTGGGGAATACTTACCATTGCAGCGGCTGATGGGCGGAGTCTGAACATTGCAAGCACCAGGAAGGGCAAGAGCCTGGGTCTGGTTGATATTAATCCCCAAGGATGAGCTGCTGCCGGTGAGTACCTGACACAAGCACTGCGGTTCTGAGCGAACCACGGTGGCGAGCTGTGTGCAACATCCCGAAGACGGCGTGGAGGAGTTCCCGGTAATGTAGTTGAGGCAGGGTGACATGCTGATTATCACATTTGTGCAACTCGATGACTGGGCCGCAGCTTCTGCAAAGAGCATGGTCACTAGGACCGCCAGGACAAGACCCATCTCAATGCTCTTGTGTGCCATTTGATGTCTTAGGAGCAATACGAAAAATGCTTACTGGAATGAGAAATTGTTTGTTTGTTTGTTTGTTGATTGAGTAACGGTTTTGTAAACAGAGAAGAAGGTTGTGTGGATAATATAGGGGGAAATTGGGAAGATGAGTTGTGTAGGTGACCCACTTCTCCTACTAAGTGGGTTTCTTTGGTAATCAGTAAATTAGATTTACGCCTTCAGACCTTGAGATTGACTTGTATATTATATTTGGACGAAAATGACTGGATGGACGTGTAGCATTACAAGGAGCTTGTCCCACGTCGGATTCGAATGGAAAGTGAATGAGTATATAGGGTGTTAGTCTCACCTAACAATTTAAATTTTTGTTTTGGATCGGGAAATACTTGTCCGTTACACTTAGTAGTGTGTCCAACTCAAGCGGATGTGAGGATGTGCCCATTTTCGAGTTCCCCTCACTAGATGCTGGTATGTCTGGAGGAAGGCAAAATATAGGTCGGTAGGGAGAATTGTGTCATCTTCCGTTAATAAAGAGAAAAAAAAAAAAAAAGAAAAGAAAAAAAAAGCAGGGTAAAATGGGGATCTCTCTCTCTCTCTCTCTCCAAATTTTAAAAAATAATAATGGAAAAGAAAATGGTCAATTTTTTTTTTTTTTTTTCTTCTCTGTAATCTAAGAAATATAACATTCTTTTATTTTTATTTTTTTTTCTTGTTATTAATCCGATATTATCATCGTTCATTACGGCCTTGTTTATTTATTTATTTTTTCTTCAAAAAATCGTACTTAAACAATGAAAATGGCTACCACCTTTTTTGTTCTTTTTATTTATTTATTTTATTCAGTGAACTATCCTTTTTCTTCTCTATCCTACCCTAACAAATGTAAAGGTTTGGTTGCTTTAGTTATCTAAAAACAATATTAAAACACTTATGAGATAGAAGTTAGAAGATAGATAAGAGTTGAATATAGTTCTCTCATAAAAATATAAAAGTTTCAAATTTAGGCTTTTATAACTCAAGGTTTAAAGTCTTCTGGGTCATAGCGGCGTTGGTAGAGATTCAGGAGGTAAGTTCTTGTAATCTCGCTTTCGAATTGCATTTCTAACTTAAATGATGCGTGTGTTGTGAGGTTTATATTCGTGTTTTAAAAAAAATAAAAGAACAACACTTGAAGACGATCAATTAAACAAAATTTTCAATTAAATTTTCAATTTTTCTATAAGTTCGGAAAGTGCTTGGTTACTTGTGGGGCCCATGTTGTGCACTCAAAAGAAGATTTGGATACGAATGTTCGCAGGGATAGCTTAAGACTAAACGAAAAAAAAGATAAAAACTAACTATCACTAACATCATTCAGAGGCTTTGAAAAACATATTTTATTTTTATTTTTTGTGAAATACCCTTTTCAAGTGTTCCTCAATAGTTATATACGAAGAACGAATATCGTGTTGAACGTGTCGTAACCATGTGAAATAAAGACAAGTCGAGACATAACTAGAAGTGTCTATAGTTTTAAATGGTTAATTTTTTAAACCATAGTTTTAAATGGCTAATTTTTTGAGAGGGACATAGCAAGAATAGGGCTCGATTATGCCAAGGACATGACTCGACACGATTGGATAGGCAATGACACAGTTAGAAAATATTTCAGGGGTCAATTTGTGAATATATATTTTAAAAAATCATGGGGCTCTCAACTCAAATTTTAAAATCTAATTAGGGTAAAATTGTAAAAATAAACACTATGCTTAAAAGCCCAACAACAATATAAGCGTAATATTATCTTTTACCTGAAGCATTGTTCTCACTTTTCATATCAAAGTGTAACCTAAATCAATGAAAGACGATCGAGAAGAAGAAAAAACAGAAGAATAGAAGAAAAAGTGGTGACATCCCTATTATTGAGAAATGGAAAAGCTTAATATATATATATTTTTATAACTAATTTTTATTTATTAATTTTTTTTATTTATCTTTGTCATGTCCGTATCAATTTAAAAAAAAAATAAATAAATTTATCATATTGCTATGGTCAGATCATATCATTCCCATCTTCTGTGTCATTGCCTGTGATTCCTAGGCTACTCTCTTATTAGGACTTTTCTCCAAGATAATTTATTTGCAATTTTGGATTTTCTCTGAAATTGGAAATAAATTATAGAGGGCATACTCTCTATAAAAACAAAGAAAATAAAGTTCGGGCAAGGGACCCTAATAAGATAAAGCTGTTGATGGGCGACGTTGTCTCAAATTTCTTTTATCATTCTTCATTTTGTTTTCATTCATTATTGAGTGTGAGAGCATCCAGGTCTTGTGATTGGACCTCAATGTTTGGTCCGAGATTTTGTGCACCGACAAAACTAAAATGTCATTTGAATAGATTTAGTTTGCATATTTGATTGATTTATAATTTTTTTAAATTTTTATTTATTTAATATAGCAATTTTAGCACACAAACAATTAAAGGGTTGTCGGACAAATGAAAGGCAAAGCTACAAATGAGTTGCCTACTCTACACGTTCAATCCCAATAAAGTTGACTCTATTTTGTAATTTTATGACGAATAATGATAACTAATTCAAACATAGGATGTATATGATTTTTTTTTATATGAGTGAGAATGATATAATATTATTTAGCATAATTTAAAAATTTTAGAGCACTGTATCATTACTCTTTTACAATTGATATACTTTTTATCAAAATTTATGGTAGGTTTGTGCCACAAAATGATAATGCCGGGATCAAGTACAATTGAGGTTTATGTATCAAAAAGAAGAAGAAGCAGAAGAAGTACAATCGAGGTTAATAATAAAACTGGAATAATAAATAGATAGAGACCAATAATAATAAGGGTAAATTTTACTCACCTTCTTTGGATTTGGGTTAAACACAAGTAATTACAATTTAAGTACCGTTTTGAACATTAACACCTCTCAAGTTTGATAAATTGAACAATGACATTCTAAATCAAGGTAAAGATACCTTGTTATTTATTGACTTATTTGAATTATGAATTTGCCATTTTAATCTTCTCAAAACATTTTAATAGACAAAATTAATCTCTTTATCTCCGAGCCACAAAATCTGAAACCCAAATTCCGTTACCCCAAAATATATCCATACTATTATACGTACATACATACACTATTATTAAAAGTACAAAGAATATGTTTGGAATAGTTCTGATATAGCCTTGCTATGTGATTTTGTTGCATGCTTCTGGTCAAGTGATGCGGATCTCTTGAGTATTCATTTGTTAAAATTTAGTTGCATAATAAACATAGTCTGCATTTTTTGCCTTTTAGATGTTGTATTACATGTGCATTTTCATTAGTTAAATCTATTTGCTCACTAAGTGTTTGGTAAATATCATTTAGCTTAGTTAAATAAAGTAGGACTCTTAAGTATTTGATAAAAGTAGTTTTAGCTATCTTTCAAGGCATTGTGTTTAAATAACAGAATATCTAAAAATCCAGGGTCTTTACTTCTTGGGCTCATTATATTATATTAGAGTGTATTTACTCTCCAATATTAATATTCATAAATCTCTTAACAAGTTTATATTTGAACATAAACCTTTTAATAGGTAAATTTTTTATAATTTGATTTAGGAAATTTTTTTTTTTTTTTTTTTTTTTTTAGAATTTGTCAAAAGACCCAATTCGTCCCCCCCGGGTCATTGTTTGGGCAAAAAGTTAGGCACACTGAATCAACATTTTAGGATTGGAATCGAAAAAAAAAAAAAAATTAAATTAAATTAAATTTCCTCTAATTTTAGTTTCAGTGTCGATTTAGTACTCTCAAATACAACATCAAATAAGTTTATTGTGTTGTAGAATTAAGTGACATTCGAACCTTAGTGAGACATAATATGGTGGGTGTGTGTGTTTCCTTGGTACTTTCGAAAGAAAGAAGGAAAAAAAAGGTTAAACCAAAACACAAGCGAGGAATAATCTCTTATTAAAAGGAGAAGAGAGCAAGAACTCTCTTGAATTATACAAAATCATATCAACCCCATAAGAGGTCACCAATGAATAAATATTACAAGAACCACTCAACCAGAAGGAGAAAATTGACAAACAAAAAAGTAAATAAGATTATAATCACTACATAATACACTAACAATATATATAACTCAGCACACAGTGAAGGTTGATGCATAAGTTGCAACAAAAAGGAAGAGCAAGTGCAGAGGAATTGTCAAGCTGATTGAGTTTCCATCCGAGGAGCCAGTTTCAGTCGACGGCACCGTTTTAGATCCAGTTCCTGCATCCATTGAAGCATCAACATGAGCATTCTTATCGCAGAAATCACCATGTGGAATGCACAGACACACACATAAATATATATATATATCCGGTAAGTACTGAACACAAAAATTCATGTACCTGAACTGGGAGATTCTGGTGTTCCTGCAGGAGAGTTGGCTGGAGAAGCAGCTGTACAGGTAGAGATTTTACAAGTTAATTACAATAGCAGATATAATATCATCATATTTTTCAAGGGTGCGTTTGATTAGATGAAACTAGTAACGGGAAGTTAAACTAAAAGAAAGTGAAGTGAAGTGAATGAATGGAAAATAAATTGGGTGGTTTTCTTCGAGTTTTGGTGGGAAAATTTTGTACAGGATGTTTCTGATTGGAAAGAGAATTTGGTTGGGGAATACTTACAATTGCAGCGGCTGATGGGTGGAGTCTGAACATTGCAAGCACCAGGAAGGGCAAGAGCCTGAGTCTGGTTGATATTAATCCCCAAGGATGAGCCGCCGCCGGTGAGTACCTGACACAAGCACTGTGGTTCTGAGCGAACCACGGTGGCGAGCTGTGTGCAACATCCCGAAGACGGCGTGGAGGAGTTCCCGGTAATGTAGTTGAGGCAGGGTGACATGCTGATGATCACATTTGTGCAACTAGATGACTGGGCTGCAGCTTCTGCACAGAGCATGGTCACCAGGACCACCAGGACAAGACCCATCTCAATACTCTTGTGTGCCATTTGATGTCTTAGGAGCAATACGAAAAATGCTTACTGGAATGAGAAATTCTTTGTTTGTTTGTTTGTTGAGTAACGGTTTGAGCAAAGAGAGAAGAAGGTTGTGTGGATTATATAGGGGGAAATTGGGAAGAAGAGTCAAATTGGGAAGATGGGTTGTGTAGGTGACCCACTTCTCCTACTAAATTGGGTTTCTTTGGTAATCAATAAATTATATTTACAGGCCTTGAGATTGACTTGTATATTATATTATAGTATACTAAATTGGGTTTCTTTGGTATATTATATTAGCCCACTTAATAGTTTAAATTTTTAGATCACATTGTGAAACATATGTTTGTTGCACATAATTGTTAGATTACCTAGTTTCCTTAAATGTGCCTATTTTTAAAGTCCTCTCACTAAATGGACATGGAGCATTATTCGATAACTTAGTTGGTGGAGCGTACAGCTCTCTCAACAGAAATATCCATGTTCGAATAGGTGAATGTATGGAAGAAGAGGAAATATATATTGGTAGGGAGAATTGTGATCTTTCATTGGGATTTTTCTAATAAAGAGAAAAAAAAAAGTAAAATGGGTCCCTCTATCTCTCTCTTCAAATTTAAAGAAAATAATGAAAAAGAAAATGGTTACTGATTATACATTTTATGGTTAAGACTACAAGTCAGTTTTTTTTTTTTTTTTTTTTTTTTTTTTTTTTTTTTTTTTTTTTTTTTCACTTTAATCTATGATATATAACATTCTTTTATTTTTATTTTTATCTTTTTATTAATCCCAAATAAAGGAAGTGTAACGACCCGAACTCGGGGATCCGAATCGCTAACCGGGTCCTTACCTGAACCCGAAGTTGTCTAAGGCATTAAAGTCCTATCCAATGTCAAAACATAAAATATATGTCATCCCAAAGCATATAGTATATCATATCTCTAAATCACTGAAAACTCACAAATACAGAAGATGTCAAAACAATCCACTAACCCATTCAAACATGTGGAAGAGCATCGTCTGCCACTTACTTCCCGTGTCTTGAAAAAAATATAACAATATGATGGGGTGAGCCAGCCGCTCAGTAGGAGGTGTCTAAGACACACCTCTTAATGACCCCGTGAATCCACACAAAAAATAGAGTACAAGTAAACGAGATCATATAATGGAAGTCCGTATAACATTTATAACATAACAATTAATATACACAGTCACATATCACAATTATTCAAAACCATGCACATGATATGAAGTGTGATGCATCTCATCCCAAACTTGGTCTATATCGACCTAACACTCACTTTTCGAAAACTCGCTAACTGACTTTACCGAGACGAGATTGATAGCTATCCCCGGTTCCAAAGCCAGCAACTGTTAAAGGGCCTATGTAACGACCCTGGTTTTTAGGCCAGCATGTCCTGTGATGAACCGAAGGTTGACCCGATAACGGATCCGAATGCAGAAGCAAAAATAGAAAAAAAAAAAAAGACTCTAAGAAATCAAAGTGACCTTCCATGAGGTTGTGGAACTCAATAAGAACTAATGCGGGAACGAATGATCAGAAAAAAACCGAACAGGCCCCCAAGGGCAAAATGGTCATTTCTAAAAATTGTAGATTCGGGTGCCATCGAGCACACCGCTGGAAAGACAATGAAAAACTAATCAAGATGGACTCAAGAATCGCATGATTCGAAGTCCGGACGAAGGAGAAACGGCATGATGAAGAAAAACGAGCACTTAAGGCAAAAATGGTAAACTGGTAATCATCCAGGAAGAACCGGGTGCAACCGAGCATACTGTTGGAAAGACAACGAAAAATTAGTCAAGTTCAAAAAAAAATTCACTTGAATCGGAGTCTGGACGAAGAAGAAAAGCCCAAAAGAAGAATTGACGTTGTGGCGGCCCGACGAGGGGCCATGACAGCCCCATGCGCACGCCCATGCACGCCGCGCGCACCCTGAGTGCACCATAGCTAGCAACAGCAGCCCAAAAGCTGCTATAGGATTATTTTCCAAAAAAATCCAGATCAGAGGCTGAATTTGGAAGCCTAGATGATTTTTTTTGCAAAAATACAAAGAAGAAACCCCCCTCAAAATCGAGTTTTCTACGTGACTCATGAGGAAAATCGAAAAAAACTCACTGTGAAATGCCTAAAATGCCCTCCCAAGAAAACTGGTGCAGAGGGTCCAAAAAGTTGCTAAATTTAAAAACTGAGAGCTGAGTTTCGGATGCGATTTCTGATGCCAAGATGACATTTTCTAAACAAATACGGAAAACAAACCCCCCCTAAAATCATATTTTCTATTCATCCATGTTGAAAGAAGAAAATAAAACTACCATGAAAGGTCCATAATGCCCATAGATCAGAATATGCAAAAAAAATGCGAAATGAATTCACAAGAGGCTCAAAACGCAAACGATAAGGTTTTGCCCGAAAATGACCATGCACGCAAACGTAACTTACCTATTTGGACGTGCTACAATGGTCCACGACTTAAATATACCACCAATACAAAATCCGACCCCCCAACGGGCAAAAAGGCAAAAATGGAACTTGAAATGAAAACTCGGACTCCAAAAATACAAAACGGGATCAAATGACCGTTTGGCCCTTGGCCACACTTCATACAAGATTAATAAGACCATATGAAAGAATGAAAATGGAATTCCCACACCCGATGCAACCACGGTGAAGCAATGACTTGCGATTTTTCAAGGTTTTCATAATATTTCATGAAGTTAAAAAGTTGTATAGAATACAAAACACATGTCATTGGCCTCCGGCCTCATCTCATAAATATCAAATACATTGAAAGGAGTGTACTTAAGTACACATTACATACATGGAATCAAATATACATATTTTGACATATAAGTCTACAAAATGACATTTCATGATAACATTTGCGTGAAATGGAAACTTGAAAACTACACGACATCCAAGGAATGCTAGGCTTCACGAACCAAGTCTTCGTACCTGAAATATGCCCCAGTATCGTAAGGGTGAGTAACATAAAGCTACTCGTAGGAGATGAGCATGCATCCACCTAGCATTTTACAAATTTATCACCTTAAGGTGAAACATGTTAAAGGGGCTCATGCCACCTTACGTCTATGTCCAAGTGAGACTCGGGGAGCATCGTAAGCTACCTTAGAGTCTAAGCAACAAGAATCATGATATACATACGTGTATGAAACGAATCATGGTTGGGATAATCCAAAGAACACGACAAGAAGAATGCTTGAGCATAGATTAACATGAATTGCATTTTCAATACAATTGAACTAGGTCTAGAGTAATCTATATAACATGACAAAAACATATTTGAATACAAGTTAACAAGAATCACATTATCCATGCAATTCAACAACAAAAGAGCATGTTATACAATGCAACAAGGTTTAAGTTCTCAAAGCCATCAACTTAGAATCTAAAGCACAAAATAACAGTAGTGGTTCATGCCACTTAACGTCTATGTTATAAATGAATCAATAGGATCAATCCTAAGCTTTATTAGAACGTCAAAACACGATTTTCAATATCGATGCAATTTAACCAACATTGGAACTTCCAATACAACGCATAAAGCACAATTTCACAAAGTTAACATCTTGTAACTTAAAATGAAACGACAAATAAGAAACAACAAGTTACAACATCATTTAGTTATCAACTTGAAAATGTAATGCGAAATCAAACAAAGTGGATCCTCGGACGTCACGCCGGATCTGACCGACAACATAGTTACTTTAGGGTTACTAGCCCATAGGTAACCTCCCTATGTGCGCACTAGACCATATAGAGGGACTATCCCCCGTACTAGAACCACGTCCTAGCCATAGTCAAACAACGACATCCCCAAGTTTCCAAAATCAACAAGTTGTGCAACAACGCATATATCAACAGGAATATGCAAGATAATCAACTATCTACCAACCACAACCAAATTTGGAAACCTATACAATACATGCTCTAAGTCCACAACTAATATGATGTGATGAATGTCGAATCTTTAGTGTGTGATTCGTTACACGCTATGCATGAATTATGTTAAATACGAAGTGTGCAAATCATTACATAATGCAACAATATATTCAATAAGAAAAACATATTCTCATGAATACAAACATAGTAACTATGTTATCCAATGTTCAAAACATAACCAAATGAATATACAACAAGTCTAAGTCCATGATTTGAATATAGAAACCACTTCTAAAACACAACTAGATCATGGAGCAAATTGATAGAATTTAAATAGATAAACACAATTAAATTCTCTAGATTCTAATTCAATTCCAAATAACCTCAATTTAATACATGTTAAAGGACATGGCATGGTCACCACCTATATCCATTCTAAAACTCAATTAGGCTATTGGAACAATAAAGTAGAACTCTAATTAAATCATGCTAATTTAATTATCAAGGTTCTAAAGTAACTTTAAATGGTTCACAATTAATATATGCTAGTAAACAAATCATGGCCAATACAAATATCAAGTTAAAATCTTAATTAAGCTAATGGGACCACAAAATAGATTTTAATTAATTCTTTTAATTAAAATCTCTAGATTTTCAAACTTAACCAAATGCTCTCAATTTAACATATCTTAGAGAACATGCCAATGACTAATGTAATATCACATTACAAGCTTATTTCATGTAATTTACGACCATACGAATTAAACTTTCACTAAAGTTAAATATGAATTAAAAGTTGTAATTCTCATGCAATTAATCCTAATTTAATATATGTGAACAACTAAACCTAAGCTTACTTTTCTAGCATGCCATAATACAATTCCAAGTTGTATATCATCATAAGGATTAAATCTTAAACATGGAATTTAATTAAATAAAAGGTTTCAAAACCTAACTGAATATTCTAAATCAAATATATGTAAAGTTATATGGCATGTAAATCAAGAATATCAAGTCGGAATTTAAATAGAGTGAATAGTGCACTCGGGGCAAATTAATTAATCAAATTAATTAATAATTACTAATTTTCAAAACACCTCCAATTACTTTCAAATTCAACTATGTTGAAGAGCATGCTAAGGCCTAATTTAATATGTTAACACATATTGATTTTAAGCTAGTTAAGGCCATGTGA